ATATACATACAGATGTAACCATACGCATCTATATTTAAACATGCATGTCGATATATGTATAGTACATAAACTATATGTGCACATTGATATATCCGCCGACCCCTGCTGTAGCGGGGGAGTGCGTGAGAGAAGCAACTTTTGTCAAGCAATTCGAAAAGACATGTTGGGTTTGAAGCTGGCTTCTAAGCAGTTCAGAAAGCAACTTTTGGCACTATGGGCTGCCGGCCGCGGGCCCGATCCGTCCTTCACTGCCATGGTGTTTTTTTGTGCTGCGGCACCGTCCTTGGACCCGAGTTGTGCCAGACGAAAGCCACCTGCAGACGCAGCAAGCAATTTGGAAGCTGGCAGTGCAGAACGGCAGGTAAAGGCAAGGTTTGAAGCTACTTTCTAAGCCTTCAGAAAGCAACGTCTGGCACTATGGAATGCCAGCCGCGGGCCCGATCCGTCCTTCACTGCCATTGTGTTTTAGCGCTGCGGGAACTCAAGCTGTGCCAGACGAAAGCCACCTGCAAGACGCAGCAAGCAATTTGGAAGCTGGCAGTGCAGAACGGCAGGTAAAGGCAAGGTTTGCAGCTAGTTTCTAGGCCTTCATTCAGAAAGCAACGTTTGGCACTCTGGGCTGCTGGCCGCGGACCCGATCCGCCCTTCACTGCCATGGTGTTTTAGTGCTGCGGCACCGTCCTGGACCCGAGCTGTGCCAGACGAAAGCCACCTGCAAGACGCAGCAAGCAATTTGGAAGCTGGCAGTGCAGAACGGCAGGTAAAGGCAAGGTTTGCAGCTAGTTTCTAGGCCTTCATTCAAAAAGCAACGTTTGGCACTCCGGGCTGCCGGCCGCGGGCCCGATCCGTCCTTCACTGCCATTGTGTTTTAGTGCTGCGGCACCGTCCTTGGACTCGAGCTGTGCCAGACGAAAGCCACCTGCAAGGCGCAGCAAGCAATTTGGAAGCTGGCAGTGCAGAACGGCAGGTAAAGGCAAGGTTTGCAGCTAGTTCCTAGGCGTTCAGACAGCAACGTTTGGCACTCTGGGCTGCCGGCCGCGGGCCCGATCCGTCCTTCACTGCCATGGTGTTTTAGTGCTGCGGCACCGTCCTTGGACCCGAGCTGTGCCAGACGAAAGCCACCTGCAAGACGCAGCAAGCAATTTGGAAGCTGGCAGTGCAGAACGGCAGGTAAAGGCAAGGTTTGCAGCTAGTTTCTAGGCCATCATTCAGCAAGCAACGTTTGGCACTCTGGGCTGCCGGCCGCGGGCCCGATCCGTCCTTCACTGCCATTGTGTTTTAGTGCTGCGGCACCGTCCTTGGACTCGAGCTGTGCCAGACGAAAGCCACCTGCAAGACGCAGCAAGCAATCTGGAAGCTGGCAGTGCAGAACGGCAGGTAAAGGCAAGGTTTGCAGCTAGTTCCTAGGCGTTCAGACAGCAACGTTTGGCACTATGGGCTGCCGGCCGCGGGCCCGATCCGTCCTTCACTGCCATGGTGTTTTAGTGCTGCGGCACCGTCCTTGGACCCGAGCTGTGCCAGACGAAAGCCACCTGCAAGACGCAGCAAGCAATTTGGAAGCTGGCAGTGCAGAACGACAGGTAAAGGCAAGGTTTGCAGCTAGTTTCTAGGCCTTCATTCAGAAAGCAACGTTTGGCACTCCGGGCTGCCGGCCGCGGGCCCCATCCGTCCTTCACTGCCATGGTGTTTTAGCCCTGTGGCACCGTCCTGGACCCGAGCTGTGCCAGACGAAAGCCACCTCAAGACACAGCAAGCAATTTGGAAGCTGGCAGTGCAGAACGGCAGGTAAAGGCAAGGTTTGCAGCTAGTTTCTAAGACGTTCAGAAAGCAACGTTTGGCACTCCGGGCTGCCGGCCGCGGGCCCGATCCGTCCTTCACTGCCATGGTGTTTTAGCCCTGTGGCACCGTCCTGGGGACCCGAGCTGTGCCAGACGAAAGCCACCTCAAAATGCAGCAAGCAATTTGGAAGCTGGCAGTGCAGGACGGCAGGTAAAGGCAAGGTTTGCAGCTAGTTTCTAAGACGTTCAGAAAGCAACGTTTGGCACTCCGGGCTGCCGGCCGCGGGCCCGATCCGTCCTTCACTGCCATGGTGTTTTAGCCCTGTGGCACCGTCCTGGACCCGAGCTGTGCCAGACGAAAGCCACCTCAAGACGCAGCAAGCAATTTGGAAGCTGGCAGCGCAGGACGGCAGGTAAAGGCAAGGTTTGCAGCTAGTTTCTAAGACGTTCAGAAAGCAACGTTTGGCACTCCGGGCTGCCGGCCGCGGGCCCGATCCGTCCTTCACTGCCATGGTGTTTTAGCCCTGTGGCACCGTCCTGGACCCGAGCTGTGCCAGACGAAAGCCACCTCAAGACACAGCAAGCAATTTGGAAGCTGGCAGTGCAGGACGGCAGGTAAAGGCAAGGTTTGCAGCTAGTTTCTAAGACGTTCAGAAAGCAACGTTTGGCACTCCGGGCTGCCGGCCGCGGGCCCGATCCGTCCTTCACTGCCATGGTGTTTTAGCCCTGTGGCACCGTCCTGGAGCTGTGCCAGACGAAAGCCACCTCAAGACGCAGCAAGCTATTTGGAAGCTGGCAGTGCAGGACGTCAGGTAAAGGCAAGGTTTGCAGCTAGTTTCTAAGACGTTCAGAAAGCAACGTTTGGCACTCCGGGCTGCCGGCCGCGGGCCCGATCCGTCCTTCACTGCCATGGTGTTTTAGCCCTGTGGCACCGTCCTGGACCCGAGCTGTGCCAGACGAAAGCCACCTCAAGACGCAGCAAGCAATTTGGAAGCTGGCAGTGCAGGACGGCAGGCAAAGGCAGGCAAGGTTTGAAGCTAGTTTCTAAGACGTTCAGAAAGCAACGTTTGGCACTCCGGGCTGCCGGCCGCGGGCCCGATCCGTCCTTCACTGCCATGGTGTTTTAGCCCTGTGGCACCGTCCTGGACCCGAGCTGTGCCAGACGAAAGCCACCTCAAGACGCAGCAAGCAATTTGGAAGCTGGCAGTGCAGGACGTCAGGTAAAGGCAAGGTTTGCAGCTAGTTTCTAAGACGTTCAGAAAGCAACGTTTGGCGCTCCGGGCTGCCGGCCGCGGGCCCGATCCGTCCTTCACTGCCATGGTGTTTTAGCCCTGTGGCACCGTCCTGGACCCGAGCTGTGCCAGACGAAAGCCGCCTCAAGACGCAGCAAGCAATTTGGAAGCTGGCAGTGCAGGACGGCAGGTAAAGGCAAGGTTTGCAGCTAGTTTCTAAGACGTTCAGAAAGCAACGTTTGGCACTCCGGGCTGCCGGCCGCGGGCCCGATCCGTCCTTCACTGCCATGGTGTTTTAGCCCTGTGGCACCGTCCTGGACCCAAGCTGTGCCAGACGAAAGCCACCTCAAGACGCAGCAAGCAATTTGGAAGCTGGCAGTGCAGGACGGCAGGTAAAGGCAAGGTTTGAAGCTAGTTTTTAGGCAGTTCAGAAAGCAACGTTTGGCACTATGTATCCGTGTCTCACCCACCGACCCCGGGACACGGTCGGCGGCATGGGGGCGCCAGCCCCACATGCAAGATTTCAGCTGCTATGTTAGCGCTGTTCAACGAAAAAAACGAAAACTAACATTCGTAGATTTGTATAGATTCTATAGATTCTATAGATAGATACCCTCACAACAACACAACAGATTTCCAGATTCGAGTGATTCTGCCTCGAAGACTGATGCTGGAGCTCTGATCCCATTCTGCTGTCTGTACTTAATGATCTGCTGCACAGTCACCTTGGGGAATTTGAAGGAACCCTGTGTGGTAAAGTTGGCTCCAATTGAGTTGCAACTGCAATAATAATATAGTCAACTGACAACGAATGAATACTAATTACAAACGACATCTACTGTAATGACAGTGACAACTAGATCAAAGTTCCGTGACTCAAAAAACTAAGGTCTCAAACGATTGGGATGCTATGCACTCTGGCAAACTCCAGGCTGTCATCGCGGCGGTACATTGTGCCGTCATCGTGCATCTGCCGACACGTCTTCAAACTCACCACTAGGATCACTGTGCCACTAGACTCAATTTCAATGAAAATTGAACAAGATGCCACTTTCGCTGTTCTGAAGCTCCGTGCGCTCTTAGATCTCTTTCAGCATGTGTCAACGTCTGTCAATCTTTATCAATGCCTGTCAATGTCTGTCAATCTCTGTCAATGTCTGTCAATGTCTGTCAATGTCTGTGAATGTCTGTCAATGCCTGTCAATGCCTGTCAATGTCTGTCAATGTCTGTCAATGTCTGTCAATGCCTGTCAATGCCTGTCAATCCCCATCAATCCCCGTCAATGCCTGTCAATGTCTATCAATGTCTGTCAATGTCTATCGCTGTCTGTCAATGTCTGTCAATGTCTGTCAATATCTGTCAATGTCTGTCAATGTCTGTCACTGTCTGTCAATGTCTATCAATGTCTATCAATGTCTGTCAATGTCTGTCAATGTCTGTCAATGTCTGTCAATGTCTATCAATGCCTGTCAATGTCTGTCAATGTCTATCAATATTTGCCGCTGTCTGTCAATGTCTGTCAATGTCTAGCAATGTCTGTCAGTGTCTGTCAATGTCTTTCAATGTCTTTCAATGGTTGTCAATGTCTGCCAACGTCTGATAATGTCTGTCAATGCCTGTCAATGTCTATCAATGTCTGTCAATGTGTGTCAGTGTCTGTCAATGTCTATCAATGTCTTTCAATGGTTGTCAATGTCTGTCAATGTCTATCGATGTCTATCAATGTCTGTCAATATCTACCAATGTCTGTCAATGTCTGTCACTGTCTGTCAATGTCTATCGATGTCTGCGAATGTATATCAATGTCTGTCAATGTCCATCGATGCCTGTCAATCTCTGTCAATGTCTGTCAATGTCTATCAATGTCTGTCAATCTCTGTCAATGTCCGTCAATGTCTGTCAATGTCTGTCATTGCCTGTCAATGTCTATCAATGCCTGTCAATGCCTTCCAATGCCTGTCAATGCCTGTCAATGTCTGTCAATGTCTGTCAATATTTGTCACTGTCTGTCAATGTCTCTCAATGTCTGTCAATGTCTGTCAATGTCTATCAATGTCTGTCAATGTCTATCAATATTTGTCACTATCTGTCAATGTCTGTCATTGTCTGTCAATGTCTGTCAATGTCTGTCAATGTCTATCAATGTCTATCAATGTCTTTCAATGCCTGTCAATATCTACCAATGTCTGTCAATGTCTGTCAATTTCTATCAATGTCTGCCAATGCCTGTCAATGTCTGTCAATGTCCGTCAATGTCTGTCAATATCTACCAATGTCTGTCAAAGTCTGTCACTGTCTGTCAATGTCTGTCAATGTCTGTCAATGCCTGCAAATGTCAAGCTCTGTCAATGTCTGTCAAGGTCTGTCAATGTCGGTCAATGTCTGTCAATGTCTGTCAATGTCTGTCAATGTCTGTCAATGTCTGTCAATGTCTGTCAATGTCTGTCAATGTCTGTCAATGTCTGACAATGTCTGTCAATGTCTGTCAATGTCTGTCAATGTCTCTCAAGGTCTGTCAATGTCTGTCAATGTCTGTCAATATCTATCCATGTCTGTCAATGTCTGTCATTGTCTGTCAATGTCTGCCAACGTCTGATAATGTCTGTCAATGCCTGTCAATGTCTATCAATGTCTGTCAATGTGTGTCAGTGTCTGTCAATGTCTATCAATGTCTTTCAATGGTTGTCAATGTCTGTCAATGTCTATCGATGTCTATCAATGTCTGTCAATATCTACCAATGTCTGTCAATGTCTGTCACTGTCTGTCAATGTCTATCGATGTCTGCGAATGTATATCAATGTCTGTCAATGTCCATCGATGCCTGTCAATCTCTGTCAATGTCTGTCAATGTCTATCAATGTCTGTCAATCTCTGTCAATGTCCGTCAATGTCTGTCAATGTCTGTCAATGTCTGTCATTGCCTGTCAATGTCTGCCAATGTCTGTCAATGTGTATCAATGTCTGCCAATTTCTATCAATGTCTGTCAATGTCTGTCAATGTCTGTCATTGTCTGTCAATGTCTGTCAATTTCTGTCAATGTCTGTCAATGCCTGTCAATGTCTTTCAATGTCTGCCAATGTCTGTCAATGTCTGTCAATGTCTATCAATATTGATTAAGTTCAATGTCAGTCAATGTCTATCAACGTCTGTAAATGTCTGTCAATGTCTATCAATGTCTGTCAATGCCTGTCAATGTGTATCAATGTCTGTCAATGTCTATCAATGTCTGTCAATGTTTGTCAATGTCTGTCAATGTCTGTCACTGTCTGTCAATGTCTGTCAATGTCTATCAATGTCTGTCAATGTCTGTCCATGTCTGTCATGTCTGTCAATGTCTATCAATGCCTGTCAATGTCTGTCAATGTCTGTCAATGTCTGTCAATGTCTATCAATGTCTGTCAATGTCTGTCAATGTCTGTCATGTCTGTCAATGTCTATCAATGCCTGTCAGAGTCTGTCAATGTCTGTCAATGTCTGTCATGTCTGTCAATGTCTATCAATGCCTGTCAATGTCTGTCAATGTCTGTCAATATCTGTCAATGTCTCTCAATGTCTGTCACTGTCTGTCAATGTCTGTTAATGTCTATCAATGTCTGTCAATGTCTGTCAATGTCTGTCATGTCTGTCAATGTCTGTCATGTCTGTCAATGTCTGTTAATGTCTGTCATGTCTGTCAATGTCTATCAACGCCTGTCAATGTCTGTCAATGTCTGTCAATGTCTGTCAATGTCTGTCAATGTCTGTCAATGTCTGTCAATGTCTGTTAATGTCTGTCATGTCTGTCAATGTCTATCAATGCCTGTCATGTCTGTCAATGTCTATCAATGCCTGTCAATGTCTGTCAATGTCTATCAATGTCTGTCAATGTCTATCAATGCCTGTCAATGTCTGTCAATGTCCATCAATGTCTGTCAATGTCTGTCAATGTCTATCAATGCCTGTCAATGTCTGTCAATGTCTATCAATGCCTGTCAATGTCTGTCAATGTCCATCAATGTCTGTCAATGTCTGTCAATGTCTATCAATGCCTGTCAATGTCTGTCAATGTCTATCAATGCCTGTCAATGTCTGTCAATGTCCATCAATGTCTGTCAATGTCTGTCAATGTCTATCAATGCCTGTCAATGTCTGTCAATGTCTATCAATGCCTGTCAATGTCTGTCAATGTCTATCAATGTCTGTCAATGTCTGTCAATGTCTATCAATGTCTGTCAATGTCTGTCAATGCCTGTCAATGTCTGTCAATGTCTATCAATGTCTGTCAATGTCTGTCAATGTCTTTCAATGCCTGTCAATGTCTATCAATGTCTGTCAATGTCTGTCAATGTCTATCAATGTCTGTCAATGTCTATCAATGCCTGTCAATGTCTGTCAATGTCTATCAATGTCTGTCAATGTCTGTCAATGTCTGTCAATGTCTGTCAATGTCTGTCAATGTCTGTCAATGTCTATCAATGCCTGTCAATGTCTGTCAATGTCTATCAATGTCTGTCAATGTCTGTCAATGTCTGTCAATGCCTGTCAATGTCTGTCAATGTCTGTCAATGTCTGTCAATGTCTGTCAATGCCTGTCAATGTCTGTCAATGTCTATCAATGTCTGTCAATGTCTGTCAATGTCTATCAATGTCTGTCAATGTCTGTCAATGTCTGTCAATGCCTGTCATGTCTGTCAATGTCTGTTAATGTCTGTCAAAATGGCTTATCTGGCAACTGCAATGCTCGAGGGCGCGACCAACTCTGCCAGAACACCAACAGGTGTTACGCCAGCCAGGCGGCAGAAGTCGAAAGTGGATTCGGTGTGTCCTAACTCTTGACACAATCTGAGCAGATTGCTGGCTATATGGTAGGCTATATGGGCCAAAATACTCTAAAGTTGCCAAAAGTTGCCAAAAGGAGAAGCATGTGAGTCCTTGTGAGTCTTTCAAGTTGGAACCCTCAGGATGCACCGCAATCCGGCACCTGGGCGTTCAAGAACTCCACCAGGTCTAGCACACAAAGGAAAAAGATGCCCTGGTTTGGAGAAGTCCTGGAGTCGAGGCACTGAATGAAACTAGCAGAAAGTAGCGCAATCATTGATCAATCGAGCAATCAAGCCAAGCAAAGGATAGCAAAACGCCAAGCTATGCACAGCGTAGCACATGATTTGTAAAGTAGTGCATTATTTGATGTTGTTCTTCTTGGCGAGTGGCACGGCCACTGCTGAAGTCTAAAATGACGTTCCACGTAATGTCATGCAATGACCAGAAAAATGCTCCAGAGAATGGTACTGCATTGAAACAGTATGGGGCTTGTCGGTTTGTCTCAAATCGGGGATACCCAACAATGTAATTTTAATGGTGGAAATTGCGGCTGGCCATGGGGGTTGCTTCTGAATTTTGAGACATACTGACATACCTGTATAGCAATGCACAAGCGCGGCACGGACCTGACTCTGGTGATTGAGGTCACACAAGGCCTTGTTCCAATAAAGCATGCTGTGACTGTGACACATCCAAAAATGGTGTGGCGCGTGATCTTCATGTACAACACTTAACTGCACTGATGCACTGCACCCGTGGATATTCTTCGAACCAAGTGGCCCTTGCTGTGATCGCCCGATCAGCTGCCGATACTCCAGTTGAGGTTCCTGGGAGGAAATCCTTGAAGCGCGAAAAAGTGCAAAAGTTTATCCAAGTCACCAACCTCTACGAAAAGATAGAAAAAACGAAAACTCCAGGAAGTTCGGAACTGCACTGCCGGACAAAGTCCTTTTCAGAGTCCAAACCACACAGAAGGGCTACAAAATTACGCTGACTTAGGTCAACACTGTCGAAACGTAGAAATTGGTCGCGTTCGCATCCGTGTTTGTTGCAGTCGCCTTAGAAAAATTATCATGCCCGCACAGGCTGGCCAGGCTGGCCGTAGCTAGCTGACTGCGCTGCATCTGCCGCACAATGTAACCTATTAGTAACCTATTAGTAACCTATTCTGGCTAGTTACGGCTAGTTGATATGGTCACCCCATTAGCATTCCTTGCAGCTTTTACAATCCTTTTCACGGATGTCCATCCCCTGAGTATCCGGGTTGAATATTTTCAGCTCCTTTTAAATTAACTTATTCCAGTTTTCTTGTAATCGTTTACTCAAAAGCTCTGGGGAGTTTTCTTTCTTGATCTGCATGCGGTTCAGAGAATCCACCAGGAACTCAGCACCTTTTCATCGCTTGATCCGAACGATCTCACCATACGGAAAGAAAGCATTCTGAGGATCTTCGAAACTGGCACTGTCAGGATTAGCCGTTGTCATTCTTGGCAGCCATTGTTGTCATTGTCGTTCTGAACGTTCTCTTGCTCTTCTGTGAAACTTTTTTTCAAAAAAAACAGAAGAACATAGAAGAAGTCTTGTTTTTTAATGTTTCTTGTTATTCTTGTTCTTGGCTTCTTCCAGCGCCACGTTCAGGATGTTGTCGCCTCTGTCATCGACAAGAAGTCATCTGGCATGCAGTTGCCCTTCAACTCGTTGCAACTACTGCAAGCACAAACCAAATTCACCATGGCATTAGTACCTCCCCGGCAAAGGGGGATCCAATGATCTACAGTATCCCCTTCGTCTCCACAATACCAGCACTTGTACATATCTCTTTCAAGCACCTGTGTTCGAACATCGCCAGGCATTTTCCACCGGCTTTGCGACCTGATCTGAAGGACTTCAGGTGGTTTCCATTTCGACACGTCACCTTGGTGTTAAAACAAGATGTTAACGCAAGGTGATACAAAACAAGGACTCAACAGGATTCAAAACAAGGCCTTCTTTTTATCTTGGCTAGATACTTCTATGATATTTCTATGAAGCCTCCACATATTGCCGTATCATGCAGGCAAAAGAATGAGACATTTCAGTATGGCGAAAAGGATCCATCAGGAATTTGTAGCCCGCGCCCGAGCATTTTCGAATGCTGTCTCTTCCCAAAGCGACACCAAGAATTGCTGCAGTCACCATCACAAACCAAACTAGTTGCTTCAAGGTAAAATCATGTACAGTAACAGGAGCAGGCAAAAGCAGCTGCGGTGCATTTGACAACAGGTCATCAGTACCAGCACTGGACACAAGTACATAAATTGCTTATACAGTATAGATTTTATAAATTCAGTTTTGGAATATCTGCAAAACCCTACAATTAGAACAAAAAGAAACAAACAAAATCGCTGTCTGGAAGCTTTACTATCAGGGCGAGAAAATGCCAGGATTTATAACGGTATAAACGCTTCATTAAACACTTCATGAAAGACTTCAAATTTTGAACTCTTTTGGATTTTAACGTCTCCCTTGGCCTGGTCCTCGAACTGCAGCTGCTAATGCAGTAAGAGAAATGCCAAGTGGATAGGCTTCAGGTGGGGCTCCTTTTGTGAGCAGTTTTTCCTGAGTGAGGCCACAAACAAAAGACGTCGGTTCTCAAGTTTGCGGGAGTTATATAGCAAAAGCAAGGTGCATATGGATATTAAAAATGTTGACAGCTGAAGCTGAATCAAGATAAATCAAGCATCAGCAGCACCAACAATTCGCGATTGAAGTGCCTTTCGCATGGCAAGTGGAGCTTTGGTATGAAAAATCACAAGTGGAGTTTCCAAGGCTTTGAAGGCTTTGGCGGAGGCATGGGATGGTTGACCCGCTACGGCAAAGGCCTCCACAAAAAGGTCAAGCAATTGTGACACTGAAGCATGTCCACGGAGAACTTGAGGGAGGAAAGCCTTGCAAACGCTTTGAGCTTCAGAGAGCACTTGACAAATCTCAGAGGAAAGAGACGAAGGAGAGGAAGGATCTGCCGGACCTCTCAGCTTTCCGCCAGGACCTCTAAGCAATTCGGCCGCAAGCGATGTGGTGTGCACGAGGTGTTTCACAACATCTCCAGTACTTTGGATCTTCAAATCTTCGAATGTCGCAGAGAGATCCGACTCGCTCCTCTTGCGCACACAAGTGGCTGCTCTGAGTCTGAACCACCAACATGACCTGAGTGCCCTCGCAGCGAGCGGAACTGTGAAAATCCTAAGTGTGTAGGAGAGCGAATTGACTCTGGGATCTCTCGGCTGGAATCCAGTGACTCTCACCTCGGATTCAAGTGAACACACAAACCCTGCATGAAAAATCATCAAAGCATACAAGATTTTACAAGACGTTCAATTATAATTATAATTATTCAATTTGGATTTCCATGTGCAATTCTGTTTGAAGTTCAATTTGCGACCAAGCATCTGCTCTGCAGCTGATTTTTGTCGAGGGCTGGCAGCAGACAGGCCATTGCATCACTGGCTGTAGATCAGTGGGGATCAGTAAAGTGTGTGTGTGTGGGTGTGATTTGCATTTATCAGGCGTCCCTTTTGTCTGCTTGTTTATGAAGCACCGAAACACAAAAATCAACTGTGAGGGTTGATCTTCTGCCTAGCCAAGAATGTACAGTAAATCCTCATGATTTTGAAGCAATACCCACTACACAATGCGTGCTCTGCACACTTTGTCAATTGCGAATCCACTATAGAATCCCTGGAATGCTGCTTCGGGTGTAAGCAAGTGAAGTCATGCAAAATGTCTAGTCTATGGTTGGTCCTTAGCATTCAAGTGTATTGACCAGGGTCCGGACTGGATGTAAACCAAAGTGCTCTAACCTGTCCTGCCCAGCAATACTGAATTTAATTCAGTTGTGCAAACAGTCAAGCACACCACGTCTAAGTGTTTGAGTTTGGATTCAGAAGAGGGAAGGTTTGAGTGACTTGTGGCCTTGTCTGCGACAACACAAACAATTCCAGTCGTATGTCGAATAGCGAATGCCATTTGTGCAGCCTTGGGCACGTTCGTGCAGAACATCAAGGTTCACTAAAAAATAAGAATAAACACAGGACTTGAACACATGCCACTGGTGCAAGAGGGTAGTGTGCTGTAACCAAGGGCCATGACAGTCACAGACTCCGCTGGCAAAATCAAATCGCATTCATCCTGCAAATGCATATAATCATTCAAACTGAGGAAATTTGTTGAAATGTTTTTTGCTACAATTCGACAATGAATTAAGACAGCAAAACAATTTTTCTGCTTTCATGTCCTCACGGTCATCACTGTCCATGACCATCACAAATTCCCCTTTCTTGAATGCCCGAAGGGCTTCCTGACAAAACAAACGCACACTGCGCACTGCAAATAGTTGTCTCAGCAAAAGGTTCTTTCAAGACCAGATTGACGAGCCTCCATTGAAGACCACGACATCGAGAACTCGCAAGACCCAGACAAGGCCTGCCCATCCAAGTTAAGTGCAAAGTGGGCATATGCGAACATCGCAAAGAAAACAAAAACAACAAATCATGAAACAATTGTGACAAGTTGAACGTTTGCATCCCTCACCAACCTTTTGCATCAAAGCATGTGGGATTGAGTAGGTGCCCAATTTTTTTGAACGCATACGCAATGCAAACCAACGCAATGCAAAATGTTTGATCCGAGATCCTACTGACAATGCAAATGTCTCCATGCCCCCACCTGGATGCGAAGATTTCTGCGCAAAGTGTGGCAGCTTTGAACCCTTAAACAGCTGCAGAACCCCAAGCCAAGCGTGAACGATTTTTATCCCTGAACAAGGGGACCCTACTGGCGCCTGAGTTTTGCACGGCTCATTGTATGACTGTGACAAACAGAAAATACTGCAGTTTCCAGAGCACCACACGCGCATGCACATGCCTGATTTTTGTCAATTTGCTCGCAATTTTGAAGTTCATGTGCTTGGAAAAGTCACACATATAGAATACATTTTTCAAGTTCCCGAGAGCGCCTGCGAAGGGTTCTTCGTAAAAAAACAACCATTATAATACATCTTCACGCCCTCACATCTGCTGATCTATATCTTCGCGCCTTCACAATCTTCACACCCTCACATCTGCTCATGTACGTCTTCACACCCTCACATCTGTTGATCTACATCTTGCCACCCTCACATCTGCTGATCTACATCTTCAGACCTTCACATCTGCTGATCTACATTTTCACACCTTCACGTCTGCTGATCTACATCTTCACACCTTCACATCTGCTGATCTACATCTTCACACCCTCACATCTGCTGATCTACATCTTCACACCTTCACATCTGCAGATTACGGAAAGCGTTTCAAACGCTTGGAAGTTTGCCGGTAGGTGAAAAGGGGGGTGTGTGGGGGGTGGGGGGGTGTGGGGGGTGTGGGGGGGGCGGTACAGATGACGGAAAGCGCTGGAACAGCGCAGGGAGTTGTTGAAGCGAAGCTATTGGGGGGGGGGGGGGGGGGGGTAAACAGCGTGTGAAAATCAAAATCGGATTTGCAGGAGGAAGCGGGCCTTTTTTATGGGGCCCGAAAATGTGTTCGTTGGGCCCTCTCGCCGGAGGGTTTCGTGCGTAAATAGCGCAAGAATTGAGAGAAATTTCGTTGCAGATGGCCCTGCAGCAGAGGAGCGTTACTGTGTGAATGCAGCAGGTTGCTAAGTGCACATTTTCGGGCCCCACAAAAAAAAAGGGGTCAGCGAGCCCGGGCCCCACAAAAAAAAAAAACAGATAGCCCAACAGCACGCCAAAACACCTCATCTCTCCCTAACTAGCCCAATTGTACGCCTAATCTGCTACTTACTAATGCGATGAGCTTGACAGGCAGGCAGGAATACCTGAATGAACCAGAGAAAGAACAAAGAAAGGCACCGAGAACACTAGGAAGGTGGATCGACTTTGTCTACCCGAGCTGGTTTGTCTAGCCGAACTGGCCCAGTGGTAAGCCTAATCTCTAATCCTTACTAATCCGATGTGCTTGACATGCATGTAGGGATGCCCCCAGGCTCTACAGAGAAGCACAGAAAAACAGAGAAGACATAGGGAATTGCCAAGCTAGCCTAATAGTCTAGTCTCATCTAATCTAATAATTATAGGACCGGATAACCCCACATGTTACCAACTTCTCTAGACTTAGACTGAGCACAGAAAAGCAAGAAGGGAAGAGGAAGTATAAGAGTGATGGAGGGGTGATGGTGGGTGATTTTTTTGAAATTTCTGTGTGTGTGTGTATGTATGTGCATGCACAGGTGAGTGAATGAGCGAGCGAGTGAGTGAGTGAGTGAGTGAGTAAGGGAAGAGGAAGTATGATAGTGATGGAAAGGCGATGGTGGGTGAGTTTATGTGTATGCATGTATGCAAATAATGTATGTGTGTGGCGTGTGCGTGTGTGTGAGTGAGTTTATGTGTGTGTGTGCGATGTATGTGTGAATGATGTATGTGTGTGATATGCCGTGTTCATGTTGTGCGTGCCTGTGGACATAAGGGAGTATGTGGGTGTAGGTGTTCATGCATGCGTGTACGTGAGTGCATGGTTGTCGTTCTCGAAGTGGCATAGACCAGCATCATGACCTCAGGAGACGCAGCATGCAAAAACAAGCAATGATAAACTCACAAGCAATCAATCTGAATGAGCTGAGTTGATAAATCGCCATGCCTTGCTTCTGAACAGCCATGATATGTTTTTTCTTGCCAGCGAAGTCGACAGGTCGCGTTAAAGTTGCACAAAACTGCAGAAACTGTAGCAGCCAAACCCGAGAAATTTCTTTGTGAGCAGCGAAGTTGCCCCAAGCACGCGGAGCGAGGAAAATCAGCAAGACGCTTCAAGTCCCGTTTCCGACTGAGTGCTGCGGAACGAACAGAAGCTCACATCTCTTCGTTGGATCGGGTGGCTGCGACTTGGCATGATTGCGCAAGCATGCGGAGCTAGGAAAATCAGCAAGACGCTTCAAGACCAGTCTCCGACTGACTGCTGCGGAGCAAACATAAGTTCACATCGGTTCGTCCAATTCGGTGGCTGCGACATCGGATGATGCCGGCAAAGTGTTCATCCAAGCTGTGGAGCTACGTGCCTCTTCCGGCATGCTGTCTCTGACGACATTGAGCCTCTTGACAGGCGTCCATTTGGATTCAAAGGTAAGGGGTTCATCTACTGTCAGCTCTGCCGTGGCGAGTCGGTCAAAGTAGGTCGTGACGGTGTCCTTGGCGCTGCATCCACGGGGACATGCCAGAGAACACTCCACTCTCCGATGTGCTCTGTCTGGGCCAAGACCACTTGATGGATTTGTCCGGTGCGGCCCTGGAACATCCAGTTGATAACCGAAGCCGGGCCAGCCATGCGAAGTTTCACTTGGAAAGGAGATGTGCCCGACTTCGACAAAAGGCAATCAAAGGATCGCTTCACTCGCATGGCCGAGGTGGCTGTATTGTCTTGCTGCAATGCTTCATCATCTGGCAACTTCACGTTGTTGAAGCACACCAAGGCACGCAAAAAGTTTGCATCCACCTTGCCCACGGAGATGCCGGCAAAGTGTTCATCCAAGCTGTGGAGCTACGTGCCTCTTCCGGCATGCTGTCTCTGACGACATTGAGCCTCTTGACAGGCGTCCATTTGGATTCAAAGGTAAGGGCAGCCGAAAACATAAAGCAACAAGCAATAAGTCGGCAACCAGAGCATGTCAAAACAAGAGGTGAAAAGAGACTGTCCAACTGTAAGCATCAATTCAATGCAATATGCACACACACGGACTTTGCCTCATCCTGTAAACAGCATACGCAATGGACAGAGACAACTGCTGGTTAACGCAGAAGTTCAATAATTCAAAGTTCTCCCTCATCCTGTAAACCCCATACGCAATGGAGAGAGACAACTGCTGGTTAACGCAGAAGTTCATCAAAGCCAATTGCCGAGGCTCTGACCGAAATAATTCAACGGGACCTTTGTGAACCAATTTTTTATCACATATCAAAAATGACTAGGATTGCAGAAATGTATCTAGAAGCAGGTGAGATACTCATGATCCAGTCCTCGAATCATATAGATGCGCAAAGTGGCATCATATAGCGGGATACTCAAACTCGGTAACCATTCAGCCACTCAGCCGTCTCAACGAGGCTCAACGGACTTGGGAACAAATGCAACTCACCACAGACACTGAAAAAGTCATGCACTACCAAGTTCACTTTGTATAGACAGTTTCAACCAGGAAACATATAGGACCTGAATAGATAATAATGTACCCTAACGACATAAGATAAACCCCATAGCTACATGGAGTCAATCTTTCAACAGCTGTTCTTTTTCTGCAAGTGCAGCGCTGAATCCAACCCTGATGGCACTGGATAGCAAAGCTGCTTTTCAACAAAGGGCCTCTCAAATCGAGATTCCCGTTCAGGAGATAGATGCTCTGGAATTGGCAGGGATCGATACCTTTGCCAAATATCTCAACCGTTAGTAACCTAACCGTGGAACCGTAGGAACCTGAACCATAGGAACCGAACCGAATGGAACCTAACCGTTGTGAACCTAACCGAAAAAATTCGCCATGGAACCGTCGAACCGATCGAACCGAACCGATCGAACCGAAACAAATATACCGAACCGTCCGAACCGGAAGTGGATATATAGAGTCTATCCCAGTGTGGTTTCTTCGTTCTCGAAATGTATGTATGGCTCTTGGTTGAGGCGCGACCGGGGAGACATGAAAATGATGTTTGGAAAAAGAGGTGAAGGTATATGGAGTTGCTGAAAGGGCAGTGAAAAGAATGACATGCGCACTACAGAGCGCTTCCTCGGCATGGCTTTCTGCTTTCCTATTTTTTTTAATCTTGGGAGGGTACGGTGGGAAACTGCGCCAAACAAGCTTGATGATGAAGAAAATGAGACGGTCCTATGTCTTCAAAATAGGAACAGACTCCGTGTTGTGCTGGCTTTTGCCCTTGCTGTTGCCGGAATCCGGGAATGCTGCTCCAGCTATGCTGGTTTCCAGCCTTGGTAGCTTTCCACGCGAGACTCTAACACCATAATGGGGTACTCCCTCAACCACCACATTGGAAGATGTTTGAAATTCAACCACCGCACTAGGAGATCCAGACACTCACACACTACAACCGGGACCACATTGGGAAATTCAGGCACCACATTGGGAGATCCAGACACTTTTTTTTCCGTCCAACGCCTTCATGGCTTCCGCCAGGTCGTTACACACGTTCGATCATAGCAAAAGATGAATTGAGATACACGTGCAAGGCTGTCAAGTGTTGATAGCCACGAAAGTACTGGTGATGGACCTGTACGCGGTCCAATATGCAATCATATCAAACCAAAAACCAAAACACAAAGCAAAACCAGAAAACAACAGCAAACCAACCAAAAACAAACCAACCAAAAACACACCAGGAAGAGGGATTGCAACCAGTAATAGGGATTCATGCATGATGACATCTTATGTGTCATGACGACAATGGCCCCCAAACAAGAAACAAACGAACCAAAACACGACAAAAACACCAGGGGCCAAATCAGAGGGTGTACGAAGCAACACAGCTCAATGCGGAAACCAGGGATCCCCCCAGCCAGGATCCCCGAGATCACAAAGAGCAGCCGTCCAGGCATGACATTCACCCTGACACTTTGAAGCAAACACCGACAACGCCGGGTCGCAACGAAAGTGGTGAGAAACTATATAACGGTGAAACAGATGGGTGAGACATGGGCTAGTGTGAAAAAGACAGCAAAAGCTATGGCACTCAGGGCACACTCAGAGTCCGCTCAGTAGTTCTTTTCCTAGCATCAGCATCATGAGAGCTGTAGTTTGCGGTAGTACCAGTGCACTAGTGCTCTTGCAAGTCGTCTTCATGACATGGGAGATTATGCTCATCATCAGTGCGTGGTGATATCTGTGCGTTAAGCTCTTCCGATGACGTGCTTGCCCCTTTAGCTTAGCTGTATGCGGCAGCAGTAGTAGGGCTTTCTGCGCTTGGCTTACTTCGTAGCTGGCAGAGATTGTGCAACTATCTAAGATACAGCTAATTTGGCGGAGTTGGCGTATGGAGGCTTCAAGGTCAGTGACCCTCTGGGATGGGATATTTTGGATACCTTGAAGCTTCTGAAATGCCTTGTCGAGCAGTTTGGTGGCAGCATCTACATCACTGGTAGTGACTTGACACAGGGTCAGTTGAGTAATTGACTTTGCGAGGCGATTGACAGCAGCATCTCTCATTGGAGTCGGCCGGGCCATACTACAAGGCTGAATTGCATGCAGGGTGTTCCGCAGGCGTGGAGCAGTTGGGCGGTCTATCTATCAATCGCAGTGTTGCCAACTCATCGGAGCCAAGGCATGGGGGAGTGCGCTTGGAAATCATAGTATGGCCGGTCAGCATGTTGGTTGGAGTAGTGTCAAACGGCAACGGGTTCCATGGCTTGATGTACTTTGACATCGTCCTACGCTACCGGAAACAACCGAAAAATTAAAAAGAGGCCCCTTAAAAAGGTAACTACAATCCCCTCCCCCTTCCTCTCTTCTCATACTTACAAAGGCAAGCTTACCACCTCGTTAGCTACTAAATGCAATGTCAACCATGGGTACCCCATGGTGACAGCACCTATCAACACCTGTTTAAACAAAGGTATACTGTGCTGTGTGGCAACCGTGGGTACCCCACGTTGACTGCGTAAGGCTACTGGAACTGCACGGGCTGACTGGCATTGGGGCGTTCGTGGCTGCCTGTGCCGCTGGCTGTGCTATTTGCAGGGGGTGGATCGCTACTTCCTGCTGGCCTCATCATTTGAGCGATGAGCGGATGGCCTTGCTTAGCAACAAGAATCCAGGCATTTCGCGTGTGGAAGCTGCAGGGTCATTCACGAGTGCCTTGGCTTCTGCCAGTGGTCTATCGAGGACAATGGCAATGAGCATTTCGCCGCCGTCTTTTTGGATCAGGGCTGGTCGGCCCGCTTGCATCTCTGCAAGAATCGCCACCGCCTTGTTTTCGCACAGAGTGCGTTCCCATTCCTCAAGGGCTCTTTGTGCCAGGGTGCCAGTTTGTGGTGGGGCCATGTGAGCTGTCGGCGTCCCCAGTGCACGAATGAAAGGACTGTCAGGCAACGTGGGAGATGGCAGACTTGTGATAGCAGCTACTGCACGTAGAATGTCACCCTCTTTAACTTCGTAAGAAGGGGAAGATTTCTGTCCAATGGCCGGCTCGGAATCAGCCCACAATTGCCGCAGTGTGTATCCTCGCTTCGGTTCCATATACCTTCTGTTCCATACTGCGTTGTGGGACCATTGGGGTGCGTCATAGTTAATTTCAACTGAGTCTCGTTTCATGTCATATTCCTTTAGCATGTCATCTAGTTCTTGGTGGGTCGACGATCGATGAATACAACATTGTCTGACGGCACCGTCGATGTGCAGCGGCCATCCTACTGGCATGTGGGAGTCTTCAAGAAGTCCATCACCATTTTGCTCAATGATTGTGCCCAGCATAGGGACATCAATTGTAGCCTTGAGGCTGACCTGTGCACGTTTGCACTTCCATGTGTCTGGTGCGAGTAAGCCACGGGCGGCCAGCAACGCAAGTGCTGGGAATTCCGGTTGGTCTTGCATTGGTAGCACTTCTTCCTTGATGACTAACTTAAGACCGTGCAGCGGTTGGGGCTGCTGCCATTGAGGACCTTGGTTTGGTGGAGGCGTGGTCTCCTTGGGTGCGATGTCTTCAAACCAGATAGGGCGGACCGACTGGACACCTATTGCACTGACGGAACTTGTGTTCTTGATGCTTTCTCTGCGCAGGCTATGGTATACAGGAGGGATCATCCATGCCGGCACAAAAACAGTAATAAACTGTACATTCCAGATGACCTGCAGGTTCTGTGGCTTAATTTCCGGCGTGATGCATCTCACTTGACCATCTATGACTCGTGTGTATGATTCGGAGCGGTCAAAAGATGCTGTGACTTTAAGGCCGAGGTATAGTTCTCTAAACCAGAACTTTGAGCAACATAAAGGAAAGATGAGGTGCCCTCACTTCCAATACGTGCGTTGCTGGTATCAAAACGGTGACTAACCATTCGGCCAGAAATTCAATCATCCTTGCTTCAAGCTTTGGGAGGATTTTCTGGACCGTCTGGAGGGCTGCCTCGATGTCTGGGACATGTGTAGGCGAGGGCATTCCGACTGTTCGCCTGGCATAGTCGTCAGCAAAGTAGAGTCGGCGCAATTTGAAAACCCACTGGCTGGGTTTCTCCATGTCGATTGTGATCTTCGCCAGGGGCCATGGGTCGGGTAGCGTGGACAGGCAGTGCAGTAACTCTGAAGTTAGTTCCGGGGTGATAACTGGGAGCGCCCCTCCTTGTGGTCGGTAGTCCACAGGTGCCCCTGCTGTGCCCTTGCTCATTTGTGTGTGGGTGCGGGCAGCCAGATGCACTTCGTGTATGGTTGACTCATATTGGTTGACCATAGCCTTTAAGTACTTGCATGCGCGGACTGCTGCCCTCCTTGTGTTTGGCCCATCTTCGGTCTGGTTCTTCGTAGCAGTAGCAAGGATGTCTCTCGCTTCTTCTTCAGGCGACCGAGTGGGTTCTGTACCCGGCGCAGGTGCAGTCAAAGCAGTGTCCTGGACTGGCGCGTCTTTAGTGCGTGGCA